CACCTCACTTTTTGCAGCACCCACGTGCTCCCATGCTCCAGAAATGCCTGCTGCAAGGCCGGAGGACCCCAGCCAAGCCGAGGCAGCTACTCCCTGACTCATGTCAGCTTGCTGAGGCTGAAGTTCACAGCTTATGAACCCCAGGAACCCAGGAAGCTCAGAGCTTCAGCACATTTCTTGACATGTGCAAGCCCTACTGTGGGGTTTTCTGGCCTATAACTTTAGGCCCGAATTGCTTTTATATTAGCCATTTAGAGCACATTTTTTATCACACGCTTATGTTGTTCTAAAAAGAGAGAGCCTTTTGAAGAGTAGGCTAGCCAGGGAATGGCTGTTGCACTCACAAGAAAGAGAAGTAAAAGCATCAGCAATCACTGGGGGATCTTCATCAATAGAGGTGACCAACTTTTGTCCCATAGTCCCAAACCACTGGAATGATTTGAGCAGCCCTTGCACTCTCCTAGCTCCTTCTCCTCTCCCTGTCTGTCTTGATGTGAGGCCATCACACAGCATGGAGGTACCCCATCCTATGGCAGGTGTGTACTACATGTACACTGACATGGGACATTCACAGCAGGTATCCTTGAGTGTTTCTATTAAAGGTTTGCATAGTGAAGTACAAGAACTGAACTCTGATAAGTTTGATGGAGTTGCAGACGCCTCCAAAAAAGGAAAGGTGTTAGCTTTTTAAATCTTTGCCTGGATTGTTGCAAAAATGAGCCTCATTTAAGAGCTGTCTTTACTTGTCTTTGGTAAAGATCATCAGTGATTAACCGTACTACGGGAAAAAAGAAGACTAGGGTGTAGTTAGGAATAACATCAGTAGCATAAAGTGAGCAATTTAGTAAAATGGTGGAAATATTTCACCCTGGGTACACTCCTCCTCAGAGTCAGGGATCATCTGGTAACTGCTTGAAAAGCAGATACAGCGGGGAAAAATTAAAGGAAGAATCAACATCAAATGTAAGATGCTTGGTTGAACTTGAGAAATGCTCTGATAACAGCTTCAAGCATTCAAATGGAAAAATGCATCCCTACCTAATATTATTGATTTCGTGTTTGAAGAAAACCCCACAGAATACTGTGTCCAAACTGCTGGAGATGCTAACTGGAGGCAGACGAATGACGTCAAAGTCATTACTTTGTTCAAACAATGAAACAATGAAACAGAACAAAAAGCTGGTAAAAAAACCCTTGTAAAATCAGTTTCGGTCTCTGAAATATATTTATTTTATTGTGCCTTGGTGATAATGAAGTAACCCTAAAATTCTTCTGGTTAAATCCTGGCTTTCTAACCTGATGGGAATTTAATTATTGACTTCAACAGAGTCAGGACTTTACCAGGCAATTTCCATCTGGGCATTCAGAATGCTTCTGCAACCATGACCCATCTCTTGCTTTGGTCTGAACTTAGAGGACTGATACTCTTGGCTACCATTTCATGGCACTTTTACAAAGGGTAGGAGTTATTCACAGGAGCTATCCTCCATCTAAGGACAGCAGAGAGCTGTCAAGGGAGAGTGCTGAACTCCTGGAAGAAGATCACTGAGTACTCCTAAAGTGAGGCTTGTGTAAAAAAAAAAAAATCTCCCTTTCTCCATTAACAATAGGGGGATACCATGGATGTTAAACTTCCCACCCCCAAAACAGGGATATATTCACCAAGACTATATAACTGTATTTCCATGCAGTGCCCTATGTATGCTAAACTCAGCAGTGAGCAAAAGGAGATCTTTGATCAAAACACAGAATTAACCTATATACAAGAGGCTCCATAGAAAGTCACTGAACTTAAAGAAACAGTGGAAGAATGAATTGCCTTTATAGAGTTAGCCACACAACATGTGATTAGCATTTTCAGTTTGCAAAATGTTCTCTACTCAAGCACACCTCCCAAGCAAGAATTTTTTTCACATTGGGACTCCTTAGGTCCCAAGAGTCTGGGCACGTCCTGGAAGAGGATTATATCTGAATGTGAATTAAATATCATTATATGCAGCAATGAAGAGGATAATAAAAGGGGGGCATATTAGAAGCAAGAAGCAACCTTTTCCTAGCCGCAGGGCTGAAGGAAATGAATGCAGTACCTCTGGCAGTCCTGGGTGTTGAAGTCTCTGTTAACACCAGGCCAAGATCCCGGGCTGTATGTACCGCTTGAGCCTGACATTTGGCCTTTCCTGCCACAGAGTATAGCTGGGAAATGTCAACAGCCATAACAAATATTACTGCATGTACCTGGCAAGTCACTCATGAAACACCCTTATGACTGTTTACAGAGCCTTGTAGATGGTTTTGCTTTCTGGAAATAACAGATGTACTGGCAATACACTAAAACATCTAGTTTTTTCCCCCCAGATTTGTGTGTGAACTGCCATGGCAGGGAGGGTAACGTTGCAATTGCTCCAGCCTCTTAGTTAACTGTGCTCAATTATCCTGCAAAAACAAGAGGAAAAAAACCCCTCCATTTATAGGTTGGGCACATTTCAGGAGGGATCTTTTTCTTTTTCCAAATGTGTCCAGATCCTTGTTTCCCTTTCAGGATGGTCTCACATAATGGAAATGTAGAAGACACACCAGGATAGGTCTAAGTACATATTTTCATCTGTATCTGCTTTTGCTAAGAAAAATATTTCCAGGTTTTATTTTAAGAAACAATATTTTCTAATGTAAAATATGATGCAGACCGGTGCCATCAGCAGAAAGCCTGAGGACTGCAGAAAATAATCTTTTAAAGATTACAGTATGGGCTTTCTTGATGTGTGTGCAGTGTGCCTAAAGTTTCTACTGTCCTTTCTAGGAGCCCGATTTTCTGCAGAGTAAGTAATCTAAATATGCCATAGTGTGAAGATTAGATTGTGTGTTCAGTGTATAGACATACATTGCCATTTTTCCTTACCGACACCTCCCACTATTGCTGTGCATGTAAAGGTATTTCATTTGCTGAATTCAACCTATCAACCGTAGCAAATATGTCCTAATCCCATTATATGCATCACAGTTCACTAACAACCACGCAGGAGCCACCAAGCCTTTTTCTCTTTGATCGTCCAGATTTGCACACCGGCCAAGGGCAAGAACCATGAAGTCTGCTGAGAATAGACATGGAGAGACAACCTGCAAGGCACAACACCTGAGCACTACATACTTGATATAAATGACAATTGTTTAAAAGGTACCTCAGCTTCCATTTTACAAAGTTCATTACTGTAGCAAATGCTTTAACATCCATTCTTTCCCTCTATTTCTCTATTTCCATTTGTGCTGCTCTGCCTTCTCTGATTTCATGGTGGCATTAAAATTGTTGAATACATGGTTGCAACTGTGACTTAATAATTGCACCTGTCTGGTTTCCCTCTTCACCATTAATTTAGGTATTGACTTCTTTTCTTAGGAGTCTAATATTGCTATGAGACCATGATGGGAAGAGCTCATGGCAAAGAGGGGCAGAAAATAGAGTTTCTATCCTATGGAAAATTCAGGCATTTAAACATTTCCTGCAATTACAAACTGGAACAAAACATTAAATTTTGAAAAATGTACCATTAACCAAAGATTCTGAAATATTTTGTTTTAGATATCTGGGAATGATGTACTGAAACACTCTCTTTACACAATTGAAACGTTTCATTTTAATGCTATTTCAACCTTCATATTGTATAAAAATAAAACTTTCAGGCTCTTCAGTTTTATCCAGTTACATATAAGCAGAATGCTAAAAGCTGAAGCATTTATGTATTTTTCCTTTAAAACATTTAAATCTTGCAAAACATTATTTCATCCACATTTTTGGAGAGGAAGCAAGTTCCTTTAGAAAGTTTAGAAGTCTTACATTTCTAAATTGCTTTAGGCAACATGCATCCAGCTGTTGTACAAAGACAAGTTTTTAGGTAGCAAATGTGGGCATTTCAAGATCATGAGTGGATTAATGTCTTTATTTTGGTTTGCAAACAGAATCTTTCAAAGGGGCAAAGAGACACTGTGCAGACAGACTGCAATTGCAGATTTGTTGGAGCTATCAGACAATATTGAATGTCTCCTGTCCAAATGCAGAGAGCTATGAAGCTCTATCGACTTCACTGCGGAAACAGACCACAATGAACGAGATTCAGGAAAGGATTAAAGAAGAGAGGACAGCATTTCCTTATCACAAAGCAGTTTACAATATTTGAGCCTTCCATTCAGGTTTAAAATAAAACTGCTTTCCTGGCTGTGCCATTAGACAACACTAAAACAGATGTTAAAATATATTAGTGTTCAGACTGTTGCTAGTTCTCTTGGCTAGGAGGAGGAGATCATATATAATCAGTTTTAATTTTCATATGTTTATGACAAAGCGCAAAGCTGCACGGTTTGGATGACAAACATAGCAGGAAAGTTTTCCTTTTTCCTCTCTCCCCTTATCCAAATTGCTGTTTTGACTGCAGTCATTAAGGGAATAACAGAAGCATTTTTTTGGCAGCAGGTTTTAAAAACCATGACCTTAACAAGTCCTTTAGCGATTATGGACAAAATAATGACTCAATGAATTAATGTAGTCCTCTTGTGCAAATTAACTGTTTTCAAATACTTGTATATGAATCACTTCACTCAGAACTGAAATATGGCCAGACTTGCTCAGCTGCAAGGTGGCAGCCACAGAAACAAATGGTACAACTTTGTAGCTTGAGTAATCCTGGACAGGACACTAAGGCAAAGCATTTCTCTTGCAGTCGTTTCCATGGTATCTTTAACACCCACATACAGCAAGTAGGACATTGGTTGTTAAAGTCTCATCCAAATAAATCCTACAAAGTAAATTGCATGGAACCCAATTTATCTACCTCGAAATGAAGTTTGCTGGGATTTGAACCCATGGCTTCAGGAAAAAAGTCAGGCGCTTCAAACCTGATGTGCAAATCATTCAGCCATTCTATCAGCTTTAAGACATAAATAGCAAATTTGAGACTATACACATGCATACATATATACATCTAAATCTATACATAGATAGCTGTACCTACATTTGCCTGAGATTCATCATGCCCATTGATTTCTGCTAATTCCTTGGCGCTTTTTAACTGCAAAGAGTAAACAAAAAACAAAACAGAATAAAACAAGCACATTACTTGAGTATTTCACACAGTTATCTTTGATTTATTTGAAGGAGCATATTATAAAGCTTCCAATGAGAAAAACAGATGGAGCATATAATTCTAATGAGTTTTTGCTCAAACCATTTTGAAACCAACATACTTAAGGCTTGATAGGTTGGCAAAAAAAAAAAAAAAAGGAAAATAATAAGACTGGGTCATTATTTTTAAAATAAGATTAGAAAGTAGTTTCAAGGCATAAAAAGTGTACAGAATTGGTTCTCAAGAATAATAAACGATTTCATTTCCCATTCTTGTTGCTATTAATTTAAACTTTACAATATTTGTAAGTTGCCACTAGCTAAACAGTGTTTTGCTAATGATTACTTTTGAATGATATATTTTGAGCTAAGATGCCAAAGTGCTACTGTACATTTCCTTCCTGAGGAAGCATCTAAATAACTGACATGGCTCATGGGTATGACAGAAAAGGAGATGAAGAGAAGAATGGCTCTTTTATTTAACCAGTGGCAAGAGGACCTGAGGAAACACTGCCAATTCCAAATATATGATCTGAACAAAAACTTTTTTTTTCTCCTGAGTTAGCTTTTTGGGGAAAATCCAGGATTACATTGGGGATTGTAAAAATAATTCCCAAGAGATTTAAGGAATGTCCTAGCTCATATCTCAAGCCACAGTGAAATATGCAGTTGTTCATCCTGTGATTGAGCAAACACAGAAAGGAGGAGACACTGCAGCTCTCCTGATCCTATAAGCCACGGAGGTTTGTATACTTAAATGAAGTGCTCAGAACCACTCACTCTTTAGGTAAATCTCTGAAGAGTCATGCTTTTATTCTAACTTAATTCAGAGCAGATATCTGGGGTGGGGGGAGATAGGCAACAATAAACAGAATTTTCCTCTGCATTCCTTGTTTTTTGCCAAAGAAACTGGGGTTGATGTAAGTGTTGATGATATAGCTGTGATCCTGAATGACAACAGTCCTAAAATCCAGGTGAAATGGAACACTATTATGTTTCGATTATGTGTCTGACTCAGAAGCGTTGGCGGACTACCACCCTAGGGTGGCTAGGTTACCTCCATCATCTTTTTGCTGTGCAGCAGCAATAGCTAAACTGCATGTGATTCAGTTCCTGGCTTCTCACAGTTTCCAATCTGACAATTAAGGTGAGCAGGCCATGGTCTCTGCATACCTTATTATGCAGGCCTGTAAACTACACCAGTTCAGGAACTGCTGCTCAAACCACTACACTGGTCCTGATAGAGAGGAAAGGGGGCAGCAATCCCTGATAAAGCAGTACAAAGGATAGCTGGGGACTGCAAACTCATCAGGTGTTCTGGTTCAATTCGCTGATGCTCATCTTTCAATACCCTCGAAAAGTCTGCAATTTATACTGACAGCAGGGTGATGCATTTCCAATGAATGCCACATGTTTTCCCTGCACTGAAAAAATATTGTGAAACCACCTCACTGTGAGGATGGCTGGTAGGAACGAGCCGAGAGGGCTACTTGCAGCCAAGAACCAAAGTAGGTATTTCTGCATTGCGGTGTGACTGAAAGAGACATTTCCTGATTCTGCCAATTCTTCATTATAGAAATTCACCTCATGTGAGCAGTCCTGTTGAGTTCAGCTGAATTACTCATCTGAATATGAGGTCAGGAGAGCATGCTCCTGGTATGTAAAACTGCTCTGCACGCTAATGCCATGTCCTGAGTGCTCAGGGAGTGCTGTTCGTTACTTACCTTTCGCCTTTCCTTTTCCAAGCTGATAAAGTGCTGTCACCCCTTAGTGACTGCTGGCTTCTTTGGCAATGCGCCGCATGCGTTCTGCTGGTGACATACCACTCCCCCATCAGCCACATACACATCTGATGGGAGAGTGGGCTCAGCCTCTAGCCTACGTTGGTCTGGCAGACTTTCACCTCACCATGGTTTCCCACCATCACCACCCTGGCACTGCTCCACCAGTTAATCTAACTCTAATGCAGACAGGATGCTTGAGCCTTTCTATCTCTTTTATTGCCTGCCATGCTCAGAAAAGGATGCCAGAGCTCAGGCAAGAAGGTGCTATCATCCACATCTGCACTAGGACCACTGCAGTAGGAGGTAGAGGTGAACCGGTGGAGATAATGGTGGAAAACTTGTGGGTAGAGAATGTGCAGCTGCGTTCCCACAGGCTAAAGGGGTAAAGTCCCTTTTTTTCCAATATTGTTTTTTTTCTAAACGAAAATTTAAATTATATTCTTCTCTCAGATCCTAAATAGTGAAATGTTGGAATAAGAACCTCAGAAAAACATACAATATTGGAAAAACAGGACTTGCCTTACCCCCTAGGCAGGGTCCATCGCAGGTCGGTGGTGAACGTGATGTTACCAGCAGAGAGCATGCTGAGGCAACACACTGAACTAGTGCCAGTAACAACCAAGGGCCTACCTGAAAGGAAAGGAGAAGGGTTGAGGAGTTAGAAGTCTCTGATGCATCTAATGCTACGGTGGGGTAGGTCTGACACAAACCAGCGGGCCTGAATCCCTCTGGCAAACAAGAGCTGGCGGCCACAGGCCAGATCTGATCCAGAAGCCTTTTGGCTACAGTAATGCAACATGGTGCACGAGCAAACGGGACCTCTCCCAGCAGGACGTCCTAGCCTGGATGCAGCCAAGTTAGCGCAACTGGATCAACGCGAGATGCTGCTGAGCCAGCAGACGTGCTCAGACACAGCTGCACCTCTCCACACAAGCATGCCTGTGGTGAGGCAGGGTAGGATTCCTCTGCCAGCTTGAGATGAAAAGGCAGATTTTAGCAAATGTATCACAAAAACGAGTCATAAAATCGAGGCAGGAGCCCGGTGCTATTTATTTTTTAAAGAAATGTTCATATTTACTTGACTCCGCCAGATGATTTTCAATACCCGTTGTGGATAAAACACACAGATGAGCTGTGGTTCTTGTAAAGGAAAGCTGTGAGCCTTGGCAAGTGGGGGTCATTACTGCTAGGGATTCTGCTGTTCTGGAAAGTTTTGGAACTGGTTCAGGGTTGTTGGAGAAGCACACTGGCTGCGTAGTGCTCCTTAGGAATTATGGCTACTTACAGTCTTGGCCTTTCTTCCAGCTACTGTTTCGTCTGTCTGCCTAGCATGAGTGCACATTTGATTTGCAATTAGTAGGAGTCTGCAGAGATTCGAAAGTCTACTCTGGTGGACCCTACTGGGGCCCAGTATTGTAAGATCTTCTGATACATTTTTGCAGCATTTGATTGCTACTAAGATATAAAATAACTTAATGAAATTTCTTTCTTTTTTTTTAAAAAGTATTTTATAACATTATACCTTGAATCCCATGTAAAAAATGTAAATGAGATGCAATTAACTCAAGAGATCTGGTGGAATCTGTGTTTATAGAGATTCTGTTCTCCCTCATGATGTTTTGTGTAACGCAGTCTTGCATCAGCTCTCATTTAGAAGGTTGTCTTTGTAACCACAAGTGCTAAGAACATGTATCTGAACATAAAAACTTTATTTTTTCCAGAATGTAAATTATTAGTTTCTAGAATATATTTGTCACTAGATATGTTCAAAGGCAAATGTTAGATGTGGAACACTGTCACAGCTTTCATAATGAGCATTAAAAAAATCTGAAAGAAGCATAATTTACTTTTTCCAATATGTACATTAAACGTATCAATCTGTCTGCAGACATATTCAGACATACATGCTGAAAAATCTTGAACATAAGAATCATCAGCATTTTTAATCTCTGCCATCTAAGCAATTCAGATCCCACAGTCTTTAAACTGCAAATACGTAACCCAGTCACTAAATATTTTAGCTCATAGTTTATACAGAAAGGATTAAAATAAAGTCTCAAAGCAGAGACTGTGCCTGTGCAGCATAGGTGGGGATTTGTGATTTCAGTGTGTCCAAGCCACGTGGTCACAGACAACATGTATTTGTGCACACTGTGCTCGCACACAACGCACTGTTTCATCTCCAGATTTACAGATTTAGCACCAGATTTTCTTTTTGCTGTGTAACTATCCATCTTACCATGCTTATAAAACAATAATATCAAATATACTGTCATAGAAGACCTTAGTATCAAAGAAGGTGTGATAATCAGATTTACAGAGGTTTGCTTCTCACTGCTTAAATAAGTGCATTGATAACTACTTTTTTTATGCCATTATGATAAAGTTTTTTGTATATTCGTATCTGCATGAATGACACAGGTGATGCTAAGCTCTTTTTTTTTTTCAATACTAGTCGTAAAAGAAAGAGCTGTTTTGTTTCAGGTATATTTAACTCTTCCAACATTTCTTTTTAATTCAGAGTGAAAACACTGATATCTATGTGGAAAACCATAAGAGGAAACGTTACTCAAGACATGAAATTCAATATTGGATAGTATAAAATAAGGGTCCCTTTTGACTCTGTTTTCTCAAACTCTGTTAGCCTCAGCTGTGTTCACAAATGCTAATCAGAGCAGACACACAGGCCACATAAGGTTATGTCTTGCTCACAGCATATTCTGTGGTCAGACTCCTATAGATTCTGGAGGTGAGGCCATGCGCCCTCCATCCCCTTAGCATGCCTAAGCCAGCATTTTTCTCCCGTCAGAAACACTCACCTGTTCCTGCAGGACTTTAAGCATCGCTTGTGTATGTGTTTGCTCTTCCTTGGCTTGCTCCAGTTCGGATTTTTTGTTATTTAATTCTTCCTGTATGCTCAGCAATTGCTGCACAAACAAAAGAAGTTTCTAGTTATCATCGTCTGGATCCAAAGCAGTTTTAAATCCTCAGTTTGACAAATCCTCATTTCAAACAATGCTTTGCAGTCTGCTCCTACATTTATTATTGTTGCACAATCTGCTGTGTCTAAATGGACCAGAGGTAAATTATTTTCATCTGCATCTCCTTCTGCAGCAGTGCTCCACGAGTAATGCATCAGTTAATGTGTGTTAAGCTATTTGTTACATTAAAGTGGAAACTCCTGGTACAGTATATCACCCACAGAGCAACTGTCACATTCATCTGAACCAAAATCTTATTTGTAGAAGTATATGCGGTGGTTTTAATAATACTAGGGTAAACACTATGGTACATAAATAATTTAAAAGCACAGCCCTTTAATATAATTAGTCATTGGCCCACAGCCATTTTCATTCTATGCAAAGCAATATTCTGGAAAGCTTTCACACTGAGTTGCCAAGAAGACAAAAGCTTTCCTTTTTTTCCCTTGTGCTGTGATATTTTATTAGATCAGGAAGACTGATGCCCTACAATCAGTATATCAGCCAGGAAGACTGCTGATCTGAACTGTCAAAACAAAAAGCTATGACCAAACCCTATTTTTATGAAGAGAATTCTGGGATGCAGGGACATCTTTAAAAGCCCACGTCCCCTGGTCTTGGCTAGCTTTAGGTTGTGCATAGATTTATTATGACTGTCAAGAGCAGGTCAGTAGATTCAGTTAATTCTGAAATAATTATATATCTTTGTATTGATGTGATGGATGTTAGACACTGCTGAAGTGCAAGAGGAGACAAACATGAGATTAAAAAGGAGTTTATGGTACTTTTCCATAGTGATTAAGAAAGGAAACTGCGATTCACTGGGGCAACATATTGCTTGCAAGCACACTCCTTTTCAAGGACTACTTGAACGAGGAATTGTTTTACAAGCTTGTGTTATTGATCTAATCATGTATCTAAGCATCTGAAGCTTAGTTTATGCTTGTGCTTAGGACTGGTAACTCTGGCTCAAACCAGTGTTGCAGGTGTTCAGCATCTTGGTAAGTTACAGATAGCGAACCTAGAAATAGTCCCTGGCCTTGTTCCACTGCAATGGAAGTCCCAGGCATTAAAGGACTTGGTGCCAGTATTGTTTTCAGAGCTGCTTGGAAACAGATGACATTTCAGGAACTGATGGAGTTATTGGTAGTGTATTTCTGTTGCAAGTGAACATCAGTATGATGGATTAATTCAGCCACTGAAGTAAAAATACATGTGGGTATATGCCTGATTATATCTCACACATTCTGCAGTCCAGCTGGGTTAGCTTTTTGATGGATCTCGCTGCCCGGACTGCTCCCTGGGAGCCTTCAAGAGACATTCAGGTATGTGTATGCACTCTACCACAGCACAAGAGCATTTCAAACCTCAAGATTTTGCATGAAATAACAAGGTCTGTTCCACTGAGGCACTTGCCCAACCTACTTTTGTGTGGGAAGCTCTACTTTGGCATTTCCTGACCAGGGATGGATTGCCACCTCAGGCCTGTGTTCACCTTGCCTGTTGGGTACGACTCCCTGCATTTTCAGAAGATACAGTGAATTGTTGTATACTGTCATATGTCACACGCTGATACTGATGCAAGTCCTTAGCACAGTTATAGTTTTCCAGACATTTCATAACTTTTTAGCCCAGAAGGGACTATTTGGTCACCTCATGTAACCTCCTGTTATTACAGACCATTAAGCTTCACCCAGGGTAGCTCTAGCTGATGTCTGCAATGTAGAAGGAAGGGACTCCCATCCTCTGAAGGGAAGCAGAGCATACAAGACACCAGAAAGATAGCATAAGCCCTTTCAAGGGTCACTAGCCAAGACACCTGAGGTTTGGTAAGCAGATGTGTCACCTAACAGGGGCTGGTGAAATGTCCTCTCCTTCCCACCTGCAACCTGTTTGACCTTACATACCTGAACATGGCAAGGGCTGTTAAGAGAAAGGAGTCTTTGCCCCCCATCTCAGAGTCTTCTCTGAGCAGTTATGTCTCACCAGGGTGGCCAGCCTCTGATGATTTAAAGGGAGGAGCTAAAATAAATGAAATGATCCTCACACAAATCCAGGAATGCATCTAGCCAATTACGTGCTGGGGGAGGGAAGCCCTTCTTTTTGTCTCTAGGCAATCAGCTGAAACCTTGAAGCATGGGATTTGGCTGTCGTCTTTGTCTCAGTGTGGTGCTACAAGCACTGGGGAGTCTGAGGAGGACCTCACAAGAGATCTTGTTTGCTCCACAGCCTCTGAAGGAAGTGAATAGCCATGCATATCCAAGGAGAGCATCACCACCATCCAGACTGCACCTTCATCCTGGTTCAGAGATTTTACTCCAGCTTCTGGGGGAAGCCTTAGAGCCCATACTTCTGAACAATATAAACTCCCATCTGGATGATCCCCAGTGAGTTTTCAGTCCATCTCTGCCCCTGGAAAACCTTTTCACTACTGAATAAATGTTACAAATGGGAAACCAAGTTTCACTTATGGGTTGAACTTGTTACACTTCTGCCAGAACGGAAATCTCCTTCCCCATCCTACCCACCCCCTCCCCATGGCTCTTCCATGGCCAAGTTTTACATACTGCAGATCAGCTCACAAACTTCCACTGTTTTATTTTCACATCTCCCACTGCGATCTCCCACTGTGATTTAGTCTAATTATATCCCTCTTCCTTTGATCCTGAATTTTTCTGTTTTGTGTTTGAGGCAATTTTTCCAAAACTGTCCGAGCATGGGAGGAAGTGGTGTGGAAGACACTCTCTGAGAGCATGAGAGAGATAGATGCTCCCTGCTCTGCATCTTTGTAGTTGGCTCTGCACCAGCCAGGAACAGGAATCCCAGGAAAACATCCAACATGCTCAGTTTCCCCAGGGTAAGAGAGTGTGCATTCTGGTTGCAGTATTTGCTGCAAAGCACTTGATATGAGATAAAACCTTCCAGCGGTCTTAATGGTTAAACTGTCATCTACTGTAGGCTTACTGTGTGTGCATAGGTTCATATTTTCAAAGACAGCAAATGGGTCTTATTTTCACGGGGGCGGAAAACCCAGTATCTGTAACTAAGGTACCATATTTCCAGTCACATGTAAGGTTTTACATTCACAGAACTGGGACCTTCCCATTCAACCCCCAAAGATGTCAGAATTGTTTAAAACTTGTAGCCATCCCCTGGGGGTTTAACCTGCTTTCTTTTTTTCTCCCTCATATTTATCTCTAAAAGCTGCAGAACCTGCTCATTTTTGCATGGGTCAGATTCTGAGATTTCTTTTTCCTGAGTGCTTAATGCTGCCACCAGGAAGTTGTAACAAGGAGTTATACCTGCCAAACAGGATCTTTTCCCCTTCTAGTCTCATTTTGGAAAATGAAGAAATAGCTTTGACTGAAAAAAATATCAGCCTAAGACAGATGAACAGCCTGAAAAATTTCAGCACAAACACGTGATGTTTGGCAAAATTAGAAGCAAATGGGAAGAGGATCTTATACTGGCAGGAATGAGGCAAGTTTCATAACAGGGACTGCTGTCATGCCTGCTTATTAACAGACAGCCTCTCCATAAAGATCGTAATGAATGATGCCAAGATGACGGTATTTAATTATTCAAAATTATTTTGTTTTTCACATAAATGTGCTTATTAAAATTGGATCCTATAGATATTTCTTCTGCCCTTCAGATTGCTTGCAAGTATACACCACAATCAATAAAAATAAAAAATTGTTCTTGGTTTTAATGTTTGTGCTGTCTGATACTGTTCCACCTACTTTGCCATCTCATCCAGTATTTCTGCCAGAGCTTCCCCCTATGCCCACCTACCCACGCAACATTTGCTACACTGCTTTCTGCCTGTTATATTCTGCTGGCTTGTCTCACAGCTACTACCAGCACAGCTATCAGTGTCCCTTCCTTCAATCTTGTCTCACTTCTCTGGCCATTTCCTTTAAGCCCTGATGCCCCCAACTTTGTGGTACAGCCATGGCATTCAGACAGCAGTTCCCCAGTTTCCTCAGGCCAAGGAGTGACTTCTTGGTTACACAGCCAGGAAATAGCTGGCTCATTCTTCTGTTGTCTTCTAGTGGTCCTCAGTGTGCAATTCTTTGGGTCTCTGAGGGTCCCCTGCAAGTTATGCAAGGGTCCTTTCCCTAAGCCAAAATCCCAATGTCACGAAGCAGAAAAGCATCTCACGGTGCCCATTGCAGCTCTGAGAATCCTGGAGCACCTGCACAGCCTAGAGCTCCACCAGCACCAGTCTGGAAGCTCAGCTGGTCTACGTGCAACCAAAACCATTTGTCCCCATGGCTGCTACGTTGACCCTGGCACCCTAAGAGATGAAGCCGTGTAGTAGGTCCAGATCAGACTGGTAGACATCACTGATATCCTCTTACTGGCATTTCCATAGAGAAGAAAGGAAAGGAGAAAGGATTAACCTAGAGGCTGTCTCTCCAGAGATCAATCAGTGCATTTTAGACAAAAAAATGCAAGATAGATTGCTTGCTTCCAGTGGCAGCTCTGGAGCTGCTCTGTATAGAAATTGTAAGTATCACTCTTCAGTTTTAAGCTTCCTTCATTCATGTGGACCAAATCCTCCCTGTACATAAGCAGGTAGCTAATTTCTTTATATTGGGGTGGGGGGGGTGGGGTGGAAGGGTGTGTGTGTATTATTTTGGGTTTTTTTCACACATTCCCCCCTCCAATGATGAATCTCTGTCAGAGACAGTTCAGTACTGCCCATATTGCGTAGATCTCAAAAGTGCAGATAGAAAATTACCACATTAAACCAATCTTCATAGCTTCTGAAACATTAAATATAGATGGCATTATTGAAGCCAGCTGAATTACTCAGACTGTGTACAATGCAGTGCCAGAGTGGCCAAGAATGCTAACAACCAAACAACACACAGTGCCTTGAAATATATGAGAAGCCCTAAAGGGAAAGTAATAGCTTCTTGTTGTGTACCACTGTGC